GATCATAGGCAGAGACGTTATTTTACTGTGAGATATGATGGTATCCGAGTGTCATAGCCGCTGTCTCTCAAACTGAGGAAATTATTTTCTCTTCTTAGTTTGCTGAATATTTGTATTGAGTGAGTGTTCAAATTCACTGAAATGCTTTTTTTTCTACTAAAATAATTTATTTTTTTCTTCTTCTTGAATTCTGTTACTGTGGAATCACATTGATTTTTAAACATCAGATTTGTCTTGGATCCTTGGGGAAATGGCATGTTATCTTCTTAACATATTACTAAACAACCAGCTCAGATTTGTGGGAGACTTTTACATCTGTGTTTGTAAGGAGTTTGTAAGGAGTCTGTTATTTGCTTATTGTGCTCCTGTTGGGTTTTGCGTTTGGCTTTTGCTGTCTCATCAAGGTGAGAAGTGTAGTGGAAATGTTTTCTGTTCGTAAGGGTCAGAAATGTGTTGAAAGTCACATATGACCCATGAGGTGGAAATAAATTGGCTTTGGCCTTCCAAATGTTCCAGGTTGTACACTCTGGAATTTGTCGCAGGCTCTGAAGTAATGGTGAGGAGATGATATGCTGACTTCTGTATGAAGAAGTAGGATCAGCAGAAAGTCAGGCAGTCACAGCTGCCACTAAACTAAGTTAGCTGTGGACAATTGGTTCAGACATAACACACTTTCCTGTTTCCACTTGTACAAAGCTTTTTTTCCTTTAGAGTATTGCTTTTCTTTGTTTTATAACATTAAGAAGAAAAAAACCTGGGTGGGGTGATGACCTGGTCTGCAAATCATTGCTGCAGAAGTCTCAGGAACCCAGTTCAGGTCCCCAGCACACATACAAAAGCCAGGCCTGGCAGAATATGACTGTGTGATCCCAGTGCTGGGGCTAGAGGAGACAGACAAACAGGTCTCTGGAGCTCTCTGGCCAACCAGGCCATCTGACTGTGGACTCTCCAGGTTCTCTGAGATCCTGTCTCAAACAGTAAGACGAAGGGTTCTGAAGGGAAGCAGCTGACATGGAGCTCACTTCCACAAATGTATACAGACATTTGCACACACACATAAACATGTCCTGCCATACCCACACAGAAGGAGTTAATAGCTATGCAATTCTACAGAATATTTAAAAGGCAACAATGTTATGGGAAGAAAAAGTATACACCAGCCCAGTGTTTCCAAAGCTTGTATGTTTCTGTATGGATTACTTTGAGAGGAAAAGAAATTTTGTAGGTATCACGGACGGGTTGACTTATTATTTTAGTTGTAAGTTATTTTGGATTTGTAAACAAAAAAAAAGCCTCTGCTTGTTTTCACACAATTGTAAAAGCAACACAAGTTAAACAGTAAAAGGCCAAACTTTGAAATCAGGGGAATGCAATTGAAGAATGTGAGTTTAATGTGGCATTGCTTTGCTGGAACTGAGTGAGCTCTTACCATCCAATGAACCTGGCCCGGGTGTGAGCATGGGTTCATTTTAGTTTGGCAGGCCTGTGATACCTGGTGCCTGTGGTGACATCCTCTCTGCAGTTTTTCTCCATTTGAGGTTGCATGCATTGTTGGGTCATGTGTCACTAGCTACATTACTCATGTGTAAACCACCTCTGTCTCAGCTATTTTTGTTTTATGCAGACTTTAGAAGAAAACCTTTCATTAGACATCTGTGCTGACACGAAGGGACCACCGCCATCTAGCCGTAAGGGCCTATCCCACATGATGTGAAATAAGAGTTAATTAATTTATTTTCAGTTATCATGAAAGCAGCCACAGTTTACAAACTTAGATGACTGTAGACATGCAAAAACCGCAAGTTACCCGTGGGTTCAGTGGCCCAGCATTCAACGTCTCCAGGGCTCAGTTGGTCAAGTACCTAGCATGCATGATGCTCCAAGTGCTGTCCCTGGCACCATACAAATGTCTTGTGATCTCAAAACCAGAGGTTTAAGCAAGAATGTTAGAAGTTCAAGGCTATCCTCAGCTACTAAAGGAGTTCAAGGCCAGCCTGGAGAGCATAAGACCATGTACTTAGAAAACAAATCACAGAGAGTAATAGCTCACACCTTTATTCCCTCCAGCACTTGGGAGGCAGAGGCAGGTGGATCTCTGAGTTCAAGGCCTTCCTGATCTACAGAACAAGTTCCAGGATAGCCAGATCCTTGTTTCAAAAATCCAGGGGGAGGGGGGAGAGAGAGGGAGAAAAAAAGGGAGAGAGAGAGAGGGAGGGGGTCCAGAGACTAGCATCTATGTTGGGGTTCACAGTGGCCATTTCCGTCCCAGAGTCCTGGATTCTCAGAGTGGATCAGAGAGAGGCAGACTTGGGCAGAGCTGGGTGAAGAGAGCATCAGGAGTGTTTGATGAAGTGGCAGGGCTCTCTGGAACAGCTGCATCGCTCACTCTGAATGACTAGAGGACTTGCTTACTGCCCTTTACACTGAACATGCAGGTCTTAGAGACACCACACAGAAACATGGGCCTGGGGTGCAGTGGCTCATATTTTGCGGTGCCAGGATGTAAAGTAGGTTCCCATTTGACTACTATCTTAAAACAAGACACACTTTTTTCATAGAAAAATTCCTTGAAACTTTGGTTACTTTGTGTGCCCTTTATGTTTGTGTTCTGTAAAACCTATTTCTGAGGTTGTGGTAAGAATATCTAATATGCAATCTTCCCTCCTAGCAATTAAAAATAGTTTCTTACATTTTGACTTCTTTTGTGTGTGTGCTTAGGAAGGGTGAGAGAGTGTTGTGGTGTGGAGGTCAGAGGACGATTTGTGTTATCTGGTTCTCTCTTCCCACCATGTGGGTTCTGGGGTTCACACACAGTTCATTGCTCTGGGCAGCAAACACCTGCTGAGCCATCTCAGTGGCCCCCTTGCAAAACCATGAGACTAAACACGGGATCAGTAACTTCAGACGGGTTCTGGTGTGGAAGACCTCTCAACTTGCAGAATGTACTTGACTTGAAGCTGGAATTTTGTTCCCATTGAGTAGCAACCACCTCCTTCCTCGACCCTCAGCCCTGTAACAGCCTTCTGTGAGTTGGGGCATTATCTTCATTACGTGAGTGGAATCACGTTTGTTTCTCTGTTAGATGCTGACTCATTTCACTGGGCCTAATGTCCTCAAGTTTCTTCTCTATCACAGTTTGCAAGGCTTTTTTTTTTTCTTTTTAAGGCAGAGGAATATTCCACATACCCTTATATACCATCTGTCATATATTTCAACCCCACCCAGCCCACCTGGACTCTTTCCTTTCTCGTCAGTTCTCTAAATTCTTGGAACTTCCCAAGTGCCTTCCATCAGTTGAGAGGACATGCAAAGAAAGGGGGGAGAATAGAGAGGGATTGAGCCTGAGTATGCACTTGCTTGGGAATCTAGTCTGTAGGATGTTGCACCCCTGCCTGCTTGGAGAATCGCTGGCATAACTGCTTATCAGCTGCTATGGGCCACCTCATCAATGGGTTCCAGAAGGTTCCTTCACTTCACTTTCTCTAGAGAAGTTCCTTTATATGGGTTGTCACAGTTACTTCTAGGTGTTAACTTGCCACAATGTAGAATTACCCACGGAGAGTGTTGAGTGACTGTCTTTATCAGGTTACTCTGTGCGTATGGTGTATGTTTCTGGGGCTTGTCTAGATTGTTAATTGAAGTGATTAACTGTAGGAAGACCCAACCCTCCGTGAGTTGCAGTATTCCTAGGTGGAGGAAGGGGGTGACGATAAAGCTACTCCCCATTCATTTCTCTCTGCTCTCAGCTATGGGTATGATGTGAGAAGCTGTTTCAGATCCCATCTTGGCTTCTCCTTGATGATAGACTTTGCCCCTCATTGTCTTTTTTTTTTTTTTTTAATCAGGGTGCTTGTTACAACAACTAAGAAACAAGAACCTACAACATGGGTTCTGAGCATAGATTTTGGGTCCTGAGGCTAGAACACTGGTCCCGGCCCTAGAACAGTGGTCCTGAGCTGTGAGTGCAGGACCTAGAACATGGGTCCTGAGCCTAGATTGTGGGTCCTGAGCCTAAAACACAGGTCCTGGGCGTAGAGCATGGGTCCTGAGCCTAGAACACTGGTCCTGAGCTCCATGCCCCTTGTTAGTTTACTTGAAACTTCCCCATTGGGCCAGGCAGCATGTGCAGCTTTCCCATGGAATCTGCTTCCTGGAAACTCTTACCGAGACCATACAGGAGCAGTCCACAGTGGGCGGTGCTGGTTTTCCAGGCAGCTTGGGCACAGAGAGTCTAAGCAGAAGGCAGCATATGCCCTGTGATATTTCTAACGCCTCTGGAGTGCAAGCCCAGAGAATTGTATCCAAAATACTAGCTGAATTTTCCTAATCAGGAACTTCAGTGTCCACAGAGCCTACATTTTGGATGTGGTGAGCTAAGTGGTAATTGAGGTTTGCAAAATGTTATGTGCTTTATTCTGGTGTTCTTCCAGTGGCCTGTGAGCTGAAACTGAGACACAAACTCTGGAGTTACCTCTTCCTGTTTAGAGAGGCTGGCATAATATTTTGTCTTCTGGGCTCAAATAACCATGTAATTACTCTGTAATCATATAGTAATTAGTATGTTCTATATGCATTTATTACATAATTATATTCCTGGAGGATTGCATGGCAATTATACTTGCATTCAGCATATCATTTTATATGCTGTATCATGAACAAGTATATAATTTGTTGCTGTTTTCTTTGATCCTGATTTCAGTTTACCAAGCAGGAGCTGGAACATTTCTCCAGTTGCCCCTTTTACTAGTAGCTGGGCAGGTGCCTGAGTTCCCCAGGCCTGGATCCCAGCTCTACAAAGATATCTAGGGACTACTGTAGGCTCTTAGCCTTTGCACCCTAACATTTTCTCCTTGTCATGGACCATTATGTTGTCAGGTTTGAAACTAAGTGAATTCTAGAGTGTGTGCATGGCCAGGTGAATGGTGAGAGCTGAGGTCAAATGTATGTGGGAACGCTTGGGAGTCAAGCCCTGTGCTCACTCCTCTTTCTCTGCCTTACAGTGGAGCACATTTCCAAAGGGAACAACTGCCTGGATGCAGCCAAGGCCTGCAACCTGGATGACACCTGCAAGAAGTACAGGTCTGCGTACATCACCCCGTGCACTACCAGCATGTCCAATGAGGTCTGCAACCGCCGCAAGTGCCACAAGGCCCTCAGGCAGTTCTTCGACAAGGTCCCTGCCAAACACAGCTATGGAATGCTCTTCTGCTCCTGCAGAGACATCGCCTGCACTGAGAGGCGGCGACAGACTATCGTGCCCGTGTGCTCCTATGAGGAACGAGACAAGCCCAACTGCCTGAACCTGCAGGACTCCTGCAAGACAAATTACATCTGCAGGTGAGTGTGTTCTGGCAGCCTGTGACTGATGAGGAAGCCTTGCCCCCACTGCTCCAGCTGCCAGACTCCAGGGTGGCCTGCGCTCCTCTCAGGGCGGGTCCTCTGGCTGGAGTGGTAAGAGTCTGGCCTCTGTAGCTGCAACCTAGGGACCATCACGTCATTAACCGGGCAATGCTTTGAGACAGAAGGGGAAAGTCCACTGCTTACATGGAGCCCTCTAAGGTAAGGGAGGCACCCGGGTGAGGCTAGGCTGTAGCATTTGCCAACCCGAGTTCCCAGGGGCTGCCAAGCCTGGGAAGGAGGTTGCCCAGGATAGAGGCTCTTGGTCTGCAGGTGCAGCACACCGGAAGAGGCCAGACAGTGGGAGTTGGCTGGGTCCAGCCTTTAGTGTGTGTGTCTGGAGGTGGGGGATGGTGATGTTGTAGAAAATGTTCATTTGTTGGTTTATTTTTAACATTTGAAGGAATGTGTCCACAAACACATTCTCTGTGGGGAGAAAGGGATGTGGGGGGGGGCTGGGGTTGGGCAGTAGGTAGAGGCTGGTGTGGGGGTTGCACTAGTGGCTCCTTCTTACCCAGCCCCTCAGCCCTTTTGACAATCTGATGTCTGTCCTTCCAGAACTTAGAGCTAGAAACCAGTATTAGTTCTGCACACTGAGGCTTGCCGTGCCTCTTTCAGAAGAGTAGACCGAAATGTAGACTTCGGCAGGGCATCATATCTGTACTGTCTTCACTTTGTCCTCAGGGTTGCGTGCAGGGAACTTCAAAGCCTCTGTGAATCCCTTGTGCTCAGCGGGCATGTGGCAGGTGGGCAGATGGGTGAGACTGCAAGGTGTTCTGCTTGTTTTATAATAACAGGTTCTCTGTTTCTGAAGACCAGAGATCAAGAAAACACATAGTGCCTGGTGTGTTAGTTCTGAATAGCTATTAATCTTACTCTGGCGGAATAGGACCCCATTCGTTCTTTAAATAAACTCTAATAGTAACCAAAGGAAGTCAAAGTCTTCATATGCATAACCGTCTCATGCTAAAGATGTTTTCCTGCCTCTCCCCCTCCCCCCCTCCATTCTCCTTCCTTTCTGTCCGTCCATGCTGATGTACACACGCATGGCCATATACACATCTGTGATGCATTGAGACTATAGGCCAGCCTCAGATGCTGCTTCCCAGGACCCTCTCCACTTTGTTTCTTAAAACAGGGCTTTTCACTTTTCCCGGAGCTCACAAATTTGGTGGGGCTGGCTGGCCACGGAGGCCCTGGGATCTGTCTGTCTCTGCTTCCCCATGCCCAGTCAGTGCACGTCGCCAGGCTTGTCTTGGTCACATGAGTTCTGGGGACTCACCCTCAAGCCCTCTCGCCCATAGGGCGAGCACACTGATTGAACTTTTCTTCCAAGCCCCCTTGTTAAAGATTTTCTGAGAATAATGGCCGTACACGTGTGTGTGGTTGTTTGCTTGCTTTGTTGAAAGACGCGATCCCTTGGTCCAGGAGGGTTTTGGGTGAAGCATCGCAGGGGCAGTTTATGTGTGGAGAGGAGCCACTCTACTTCCTAGCCATGGGTCCCACAGGGGTGTCTTGGGAGAGATGGGTTGTCCTGAGCATGGGGTAGGCCCCAGCAAACCAGGAACCTGGAAAGCAAATGTAGCTGAGGGCAGGATGGTGATGGAACCAGGTTACCCGTGCAAGGATGGGAAGGCTCAGGACTTCTGAAGAGCCCTCGCCTCCGAGCAGAAGGGATCTCCTTTGTGTGAACAGGACTTGACTTCTGGTGTGTTCTTCGGCTTAGAGCCAGACAGTTCATCCCTAAGGTGTCATCCTACCCCCTGCTGAGTCCAGGAAGGAGGCCTGGGCTCTGAGCCCTCCTAGGGAAGGAAGAAGGGTTGAGCAGGATAGACGTAAAGGAGTGGATCGGCCTCTTCCATGAGTAGTGGCAGGTCAAGGAGGTGAATTCTTCTCTTTTAAAGATTTTATTGCACGTGACTTCAGGGAGGGTCTGTGACACGCTCACATGGGCCAAAAGCCTGCTGTGAGTGCTGAATTTGTATTCACCTACACACTGCCATGTTCTGCTAAGGAGACAATCCTTGGATTGGTGTAAATTTGTTATATCACACTGGACTCCCAGTCAACTAGGGAAGAGAACTGGGAACTTGAAGACTTGGAGGCCTCTAAGGAGGTGGCAGGAGGAACCTGTAGATAACGTGATGGTTTGGGACCTCAGACTTTCCCCACACAAGAACAAGTTCAAGAAACTGAGAGATAGTCCCGTGGCTCAGCTGATGGGACAGAAATGGAAATTACAGGAGACTGAGGGAGTCCTTGCCTAAAACTGAGTGTCCCAACCCTGCCAAGGCCAGAGTGGCATGGACAGAAGCCATAACAACACAGTGGGGTACAGCCCTGTGGGCACAATAACTCCTGGGAGTGGTGTTGGCTCTACTATTGCCACTGCTCTGGATGGAACTCAGAGGCTATATGAGAGCCAGAGCTAGGCTTTCCAGGGAGCCCCACGGAGAGAAATTTATCTCCACATGACTGATGGGTTTTGTACCCTGTCTTGAGCCTCTCCCAGGAAGGTGACTTCTCTGGTGTTACCTCATTAGGTTGTCTAGCCCATAACCTCTTTCCACGATTACCCACTCCCTGCCCAATGTGGGAGAATGTAATCTGAGCCGCCATGTTGGCTGGTGCTGTTTTCCTCCAGCAGATTTTATTAATCTTGCCTTTAATTTCATGCTGTTACTGAATCTCTTCTCAATCCAGTTTAAGGAAGCCTCCATAAACCTACCCAGGGCAGTATCTGGTGGTGGCTGGAGCCTGGGGTTCTGTGGGCTTCCTGTACTAGTCATCCACCCCTCTCTGCTGTGATGACTAAAGGGCTTGTGTGAACATCGCTGACAGGAAAGGATGGCGACAGGAGGAAAAACCACATGTTAACTATCGCTCCCCCCCCCCCCAATCTTTAGACTTTCCAGACAGCCCTTCCTGGCTTAACATCCTCGCCTATCAAAGAGCTGCTCAAACTGATTAAAACCTCCCTGACCATAATACTTTCCTACTGCAGCCTTCAGGTTTCCTTCCCAGGGGTCCCAGGGTGCCTCTGCATAAAACCCACTCTCTCTGCCTTGAGCCTTCAAACACATACAAAGCAACTTGAGGTTTGCCTCTGCCTTTGTTTTCCTTTCCCTCCTTTCTTCTTTAGTGGATCTGACAGGCTCCTTTCCTCTTGGGGTGGTTGGGGAAGGAGTGAGCTTGACTGCTCGGGCCTCCAAGCTTCTCTGAGCAGAGCATGCACCGAGGTGTTATGAGACGGCTGTGATGAAATCTGAAAGCTCCATGCTCCTCCCCTGGAGCACAGCGGTTCCCCTGGAGCACCACAGCTCACATGCCAGCTTCCTTCTGGTTGCTTTCCTTACTGCCAGGAAGGCTGACAGTTCCTAGTGTGGCCTAAAGGAAGCTTGTCCTTCATTCCCGATGCAAATTACTCTATATACATTATTTAAATTCATACTCTGCTTGCTCCCTCCCTTCCTCCCAAATTCCAACATTCAGAGTTAAGCTCTGCACTTGAGTTTTGACTCAGGATACCAGAGATTTGCTTCGGTTGCTCTTAGCTCTCTAATTAGTCACTCGGGTACTTGGCTACTCTCATAGCCGGGAGGATCTCCTCTGCAGCAAGCTGCTCCAGCCATCTCTGAGGAGTCACAGAGGTGCCATCGTCATTCTTCTTCCTCCAGTGCCAACCAAAGAGGGAGCCTGAGGCTGCTGAGAAGGCCACCTGTCTGGCTGCCACTACTACTCTACATTGCCCTTGTTGAGTGGCTGGGGAAGAAGTGATCACTGTGTGTGTGCAGCGAGACTCTGAAACATTGGGTACCCGAGTATGCACTAAGGCGCTGTGCCTCAGAGGGCTGGGCTCTAGGGACCTCAGCCAGAACCAGCTGTCCACCAAGGACAGCGCCCCAGGTTCCCTTTTGCCTGGCAGAAGTGCCCCTACAGGGGGTTTTCTCTGCGTTTAGCAATCCCGGGTCATCATTGTCTACTTCCCTCTAGTCTGTTCTAGGAATGTTGACATCAGAAGGAAGCTGGGTACGGTGGAGCCTGCCTTTAATCCCACACTCAGGAGGCTGAGGCAGACCTCTCTCTCTCTCTCTCTCTCTCTCTCTCTCTCTCTCTTGTGTGTGTGTGTGTGTGTGTGTGTGTGTGTGTGTGTGTGTGCAACCTGGTCTACATAGTAAGTTTCAGGCAAGCCAGGGCTACATAGTGAGACCCTGTCTAAAAAATTCTGTGTGGACTCGAGAGATGATGCAGCTGTTAAGAGTACTTGCTTGTTGCTCTTTCTGAAGACCCAGGTTCAGTTCCCAGCACCCACATGGGGCTCACAGCCCCCAACAGCTATGGATCCATGAGCTATGACCTCCCCCATTTTCAGATCTCCTTGGGTACCAAGCAGCATGTACTTATGAAAAATAAAGTAAATAAATCTAGAAGTATTTTTTAAAGGAGGGAGTTGGGGGCTTCAGTACCTCTGTCTCTACACCTCTCCTGCCCCCCCCAAGATATTTCTCCTCTAGGTGCCCAGCTGTAGGTCCTCATAGTGTTCAAAATAGTAGCTTGATGAGGTCACCAGGTATGTGGTTCTTCCTTCCCCTGTAGACTTACGATCCTATAATTACATCTCAGAAACCCGGGGAATTGGTCACAGGACCAAGAAGGCACCTGACCCTTGGTACAACTCTAGAAGAACCGTGCATGCAATATCTGAGCTCCTGCCCTAATTAATACCTCATTTGCCACACTTGGGGTGACCCTTTTACACATAAAGGAAGTGTGGCATTGTTAATTTGTCAGCTGGGACAACTGGAGAACCATGCCACAAAACGATGGAGGGAATTTCCGCCCCAGGGACTTACCTAGTTCAATGGCAGTTGAGCACCTGTGCAAGGTGAGGTAAATGTCTCATTTACCTGGAGTGAGGTCCTCTTTGTACAGTAAACTGT